GAATGTATTTTGGGAAATAAAACTTAAATGTTTAAAGAAACTTACATTTATTATTACATTTATTTATATTTATTTATTATTAACAAACGGGACAAATTCACTGTCAAAATTATGCAAAAATGCAACATTATAGAAAAATAGACAAAATTACAGATAAAATAAAATATACATGAATAAAATAAATAAGTACACATTTTATAATAAGTTTCATTTAGCATTTAAGTGCTTCAAATAGTACCTAAAGCTATTGATATGAAAGTTTTAGACCATCTCTATGTGTGAAACATAATTAGTTCTGTGGTAAGGAACATGGAAATATAAATTCTGACACAGTGAATGGGAAGGAATATGAAAACAAACTAGCTGAAGCAATTCAGTAGATTGGTTATTTTATAAACAAGTTGAAAAATAAAGATTAAAAGGTAACACTTTTAATAAGAGAATCCAGATTCAAGAAATTGATCATATCAGAATAAGAATATGGTCTACACAATTTACAAGAACAGTTGATGCTTGTAGATGAGTCAGTATAAATCTAATCAACATAAAAATGGTTTTTAATGCAATTATAACATAATCAGTATAAATTAGTTGAAGTTGAACGACTAGACAGTAAGTAAACCACGCTGACCAGTATGAAGCTGATTCTTCAAATTTACTGTCAAAAAATCAGTCAGTAAAGCCTCGACAATTTTAGGAATAGCAGAAAGAATTATAATGGAACGATAATTACGAATCAATGAGTTAAGGATAAAATCAATAAATAAATTGTGATGAAAAGTGACCCTCAGTCAGAGATTTATAAAAAATAAGCCATAGATGCCTACATAAAAAGAATGCACAATTCCCTAAAAATAAGTTAAGATATTATGTCTGGACCAAGACCTTTATTATAACCTAAACCTAAACCTTAACCTAAATCAAAGCCAAATAGATTACAGGTACACGACACTAATCAAAAAGATCTATCAGAACGCTACATCAAGTATACGACTGCACGAAGACACAGAAAAATTCAGCTTAGGTCGAGGAGTTAGACAAGGAGACAATATTTCACCAAAATTGTTCACGGCAGCTCTAGAGTCAATATTTAAGGGTACTCAATGGCAAAATATGGGCATCAATATAGATGGAGAAAGATTAAATCACCTAAGGTTTGCAGATGATGTTGTATTAATCGCAGATAACTTACAAGATACAGTTTCTATGATGCATTCGCTTAAAAGTCTGTTTGAAAGAGCAGGATTAAAGATAAACTTTGAGAAAACTAAAATTATAACAAATCTCGTAATGAGTGGAAATATAACTATTGACAATAATACCATACAACAAACAGACACTTACAAATATCTGGGACACGAAATCAAAATAAGCAGAGACAATCAAACACATGAAATACAGAGGCGAATAGGTCTAACATGGGCAGCATTTGGCAAATTAAGCCATATTCTAAAAAGTTCAATTCCCATGTGTCTCAAGCGAAAGGTTTATAACCGATGTGTTTTACCTGTACAAACTTATGGAGCAGAGACTTTAACACTCACGCAAAAATCTGCGAATAAACTTAGAGTTACACAACGAGCCATGGAACGTGCAATGCTGAACGTGAGCCTTCGAGACCACATAACAAACCAACAAATCAGGCGAAGATCAGGAGTTCAAGACGTCATCGAAAAAACCACGACGCTTAAGTGGAACTGGGCAGGGTACTTAGTCAGAACACAAGATGGACGGTGGACAAGACGTATTATGGAAGCCAGAATCAGCCAATCGCGTCCAGCAGTGGACGCGATTGGCTGATTGATGATGATGAAGACCTTTATTGGTATTCAGACACTGTAAGCATGCGTCACAAATTTTAACAGTTAAAAGAGTGAATATGGCTGTTACTGATATGGGATCTTTGACTACACTTGTCTACACAAGAGAAAGAAGGATTGTGAATACTGCTAAAGAAATTGACAAAATTGTTGAAATTGTGGTTCTTAAAAACAGAACCATTCAACTTCCCTTATCCCTTCCCATTCTGATTTCCCTTAAAATTGTGTGGTCAGCAATTAAAAGCAGACAAGTCAATTGTTGAGTTTTAAAGTTGAAATCATAAGTATGAAAAAGATCAATACCTAATATGGAACTTTGTCTGTTTTCTTTCAACAGTAGATTAATTTTTAGGTATTTATTTTTAATATATAAAACAGTCTCAAAAATTGGACTGTTCCTTTGTGTCCATGAACTACACAATTTAATCATTACAAAATTAATCATATTTGCTAATGCAACATGCAAGTTAAATTTTATCTGCCCTCTCTTTAAATATTTCCTCAGATATTTCATTATCAAGTTTCAACTTCCTTCCCCATGGCAACGCTGGTTTTGGAGTTTTTCCAAGCAACATCTGAAAACAAAATTAATGTACATTCATAAATTGAATAAACTAATTTCAGATTTAGTTCATTATACTTTGCTTCTTGTGAATAAATCATAATTCAAAGTAAAATTAAACACACGAATTTCAAGTGCTGTAGTTTTAATGAATCTCACCTGAATTAGAAGAATACCAACCCAACCATTGGTATTTATTTCTAATGACCAAATGAGCAGTAATTACACTTTTATACGTAAAAAATAAAAATAACTGTATAAATAAAATATATGGCCAACAACAAACCTTTATCTCATAAGCTAGCTGTAGTTCTTAAAGCAATCTCATAGCCAGACCTGAACATTTATGAATTGGTAAAATTTGCCATCTAAATTACATATAAGACACAGTTAACAATATGTTTAATCAGCTGTATGTGGCCACTTAAGTGATAGTGTAAATTCTTAAATGCACCTTAAATTGATTTATGTTTACAAGTTACAAACCTTTTAAAATCAGAGCTATATGTGTGTCCTCAAAAACTTTATATTGCTTTTTCCCTAGCTAACTATCTTTTCCTTGAATTTTATTCCAGATCAGCTTCTTATGGCTTCTCCTAACAAATTCATTTATGGTCTCCTCACAAATTTTGGAAAGCTCATTATCCTAAAATATAAATCAACATGTAACAGTAATCTAACTACCCCACAAACTTGATCATCCATGCTTAATTATTTTAGCTTAAACTATCTAATAAAAAAACAGCCTCTGTTACAAAATCAATCAAACATTCATTTGCAAATTTTGGTTTCTCATAACCATGGTAAATGCCTATTAAATCTACAATTTTAGGATATATAAACAAGATAGGATATGACTGACTACTAAATCTCTTTTTTTAGTGGGATTCCATCAAAATGTACACAAATTCATTGAAAGAAGAGCTTTGTAAAGGATCACCGGAATGGTCGTCCACGTGGTAATTTGCATTATTTTAGGCACTTAACATGTTAATAAAAGTTTAAATCGGAAGTATTGTAACCTGAACTATTTGAAATGAATGATCAGTCAGGGATTCCGAATAAAAGTTTGAAGGAGATGGAATATCGAGGTTATTAATATTTTCAACAATATTCTCTACGTTTTTCGTAACCTTCCTCTGTTGATGACGCTTAGAAACAAATCGTTTTCTTTTAAACATAATTAATAAGTAAAAATTACACTTACCTTTAAAATAAAACCAATTTCTAAAGTATAACCTAACACGTGGTACCAAACCTTTAACAATATACAATAACCACAACACAACGCCAAGCATCAAAAAACCAATGCACTGTATACTGCTTAAATAGAATTCTTTTATTTCATTTATTAAAGCATTAATAATATAAATATAATTAAACTGTGCCATTTGTTTAAATAGGTATGATATGATATGACAGACAATGACATTATCATCATTATTTTGTTCAGCCAGAGTATATACTACCACTTGTTCATCTTTGAAAAATGATTTCAAGATTCATCTTGTTGATAAAAATCATATTTTTACTTATTAGAATTAGCAAACATATATCATCGTGATAACTAGAATAATAAAACAATTGTAACGAATTATCTAGAAATAAAATATTTTTACACTTTACCTTAAACAAAAACATGTTTTGGATATATTAAACTATACAATTTTTAATTAATCATGATTTAACCTTTTCGCTTTTAATTATTTTATTAACGCAAATAATTTTTTATTTTATTAAAATATTTGCTATTTGATCCCATAATTGGTAAATGTCAGATGTCCAGAAAACGTCCGAGTTCGGACGTCCAGGGGACGTCCGAGTATGGACGTCCATGGAACGTCCGGGTACGGACGTCCAGAGAACGTCCATATTTAGTCCACCCAAAGTACGTCCCACTTCGTACGTCCATAGTACGTCCATTTTACGTCCAGGGACGTCCGGACCAAAACTGGACGTATATTGGACGTCCATAGGACGTCGTGTGTTACTAGGGAAAACCGACTTATTTTCTTTTCCGGCGTAAACATATAAACATAATGGTATTTTTTAAAAAAGAAGGCAAAAAAAATATTTCCGTATTGAGGGAAGGGTCCTCTTTGAATTAAATATATTTGTAAGAAGTTTAACAAATTTTATTACTCTCTTCCTAGCGCTATAAAAAAGGGCCTAAATGTTCTGTGTTCAAAAAAAAATTACGATTGCTCTTAAATTTGTAACAAAGCAGCCATCAAGTAATCTGTATGTTCCAGTACTTCTTTTAAGAAATAAAAAATATGAAAGATATCGAAGAATTAGGTCTATAAAAATACAAAATCCAATATCGGCACCTTTCATATTAAACAGATTACAATAATAAGACCTATATAAAATTTTACATTCTAGGTCTACTTTTAAAACACCGTTATTTGTTTCGGCGAGGAACAAAAGGAAGATTTTTGGATACAGCCATTGGCGTAGCTGCGGTAATGGCAAAGGGTTTTTAAAATTAATTTTAAATATATAATAATTAGTTACTAGTCTAATTATAAAAAAAATGTTACAACGTTATAACTTTTATATTTGTCTATTTTATGAAAAGTATTTACACTAGTACTAAATAAGTTTTATTTTCACAGCATCAAGAGAAGGTTCTCCAATTAGGTTTGGTTCTAAAAGTCCCAGTGCAGGATCAACTCCTTCTGTTGCTCCCAGTACTCCAGATGACTCAGATCACAGTGATGATGAATATATTGACACGATAGAGGTATTTGTAAGTTGATCATTGTGTATTGTTTTATATATATGTTACGATATAATTTATACCGGGTCCATAATCAATTTAAAAACTTAGATATAGCTTCAGGAAAAGGTAATATTATTTATATTATTTTGAGTATCTTGAAATTTTAAATATTTCCAAGTATTCAATAGTAAAATTATCGACAATAAAAGAAAAATGGCAGTTATGTAAACACCAACAAAAATATGAATAGGACAATGATAGTAACACAGATGCAATTTGAAAACAATATAATAGACAAAACAATATAAAAACTACTACTCTATCTATAACGATATGTAAGGGACCGGGAATTTTCATCGTTATAAGGAGAGATCGTTATACAGAGAGAAACAAAAATCGTTACTGCAATCATAATACTGTGCTAAATGACCTATTGTAATTTAAATAATTGATCAAAATGATTATAAATGAATTAACACTGTATATAATATACACAACATAGATTTATTAAAGCGTGATATAAGCAATACAGTATAAAAAAATGACTGCACAATTAAAAAATGTATACTGTACAGTAACAAAATAATATGGTAAAAAAAATTTTACTGTGCATTTTTCATCAAGGTATGAAAAAAAAGTTTATATCCTATATTTAGCCTACATTAACGAAAAAGGTCTGTCACCTTGGTCTATTTCCTTTTACCTTTTCACAGAACTGACCTGACCTTGTCCTGAAGACGCATAGCATCTTCCACACCACTCATATCGTCTTCCTGGTTCATGAAATACTTTTGCCGTATCCAATTCCTGCTAAGGGATTGGAGCTGGTTTTGGCTCTGCTTCCACTTCCGGGTCACTATTTTCTTCTTCTATACGAACTGCTTGTAAGATGTCTTCGTCAGAAAATTCAGGGGTTGTAGCTACGTTTTTATCAAGTTAGCTCTTCCAGTCCGTAGGTGATAGGAAGTTCAAACTGTCTGGCCCAAACAGCTAACGGCAGGTTATCTTCATTCTCAGTAAATTCTTGAACTTCCAGCCATCCTGCGTGTTTGAAGGAATGTGTTAACGTATTGCTTGTCACCTCGTCCCAGGATTAACTAATCATTAGGATGGCGTCAAGAACGTTTAGTTTTAAATCGCCATTGTTCTCAACCGATTCCATCAAATGGCTTTTCAAACTCTTGATGACACTTGGTCCATGGGCTGAAGGACACTCATTGTGTTTGCTGACAGGAAACAAAGTTCAATATTTTGAAGGTAGTACAGTACAGGATGAGCAGGAAAATTGTCTACAAGCAGGGCTCGACATCTCATTTACTTTTTCAAAAATTTCCGAAGGAATCCAATCACTCTTTTTTGGTTTGTAGGTCGCGGGTAGATTTTTGATGTCAAAAGCAACGTGGTTTTTTCGACTTCACTATCACTAACAAGTTTCTCTTCACTGAACCTGTCATCTTAGCGTCCACTAAAACCGTAGAGAGCTTTTCACCAACGCACTTTTCCGATTTAAATTATTAAGTTCTGTTTGGTGTCATTTTAAAAAAACACTCCAGTCTCATCAGCATTGAAAACGTCGTCTGACGCATATCGTGCCTTCAGTCCAAGCCATACGTTTTCTAGCTTATCACCCGTTACGTTTTTGTTAACATCGCGAGCCTATCTGCTGATCTACTCGTAGTTGATCTTGTGCTGCAGCTTCCACTTGCTCAGCCAACCCTCAGATGCCTTAAAATTCTCAATTTTAAGCTTCTGTAGCTTTTCAAGTTCAAAAACAATCTTAGTGGCTACCAGCATATCATTTGATTTTTCTGTTCCGCAATATATTTTAGAATGGTAAGTATATCCTCCAGGAGACATAGTTTGAAGAGCTTAATTCCGAATTTATGCCGTTTTCCTTTGACATATTGTCGAAAAATTAAGCGTCCTCGGAAGGGTATCATTGTTTCGTCTACACAGACATTTTCGCCAGGAAGGATAACTTGCTTGAATTTCTTATTTATGGAGTCAACCAGGAATCTAATTTTGCTGAGTCGGTCTCCTTCTTCGGATTGTTCATTGTTAGCGAAATGCCACATTCTTAGAATATTTTCAAAGCGATTTCGAGACATTCGATTTGCCGCTTCAGACCAATAAATTTCAGAATGTTTCCAATAATCTGTGATTTTCGGTTTTTTGTCTAAACCCATCCATAGCAGAAAACCCAAAAAACAATACATTTCTTCGCGAGTCACTTCGGTCCATTTACTTAGTTTAGAAGAGGGCATGAGGGTCTCTTTCGTAATGGCTTTTATTATGGTTTGTTTCGCATACAAATTGGTTTCGTTTACTATAGTATTTATTAGCTTCTCATCAAGAAATAATTTATAGTAAGCAAATATATCTTCACCTTTCATATCTTGTACTTCTTTGACCAAACCAATGTCCCCATGAATATCGAAGTCTTTGGGATCTCCAACAACTACGCCCCAATCCGACACAACATCTTGCTCAATACTTGAAGAACCATTTGTTTCGGAATCCCCAGATTTTGAAAAAAATAAAAGGTTAGGAAAGTTTAGGAAAAGGTTAGTTCATATTCCTAGTGTTCTTGTTAGTCAGAAAAAAATTGCAGAAATCTTTGACGATTCATTCATACTAAAATCATTATAAGATTTTTTTTACTTTTTGATATAAAATTTTTATTACCTATTGAAAAACAATCTTGGGTTTTCTTTTTGGTGTACTAACTTTGGTAAATAATAAAATTCCCTGGGCGATGATTTGAAACACTCGGTAAATAAAATCTCAAATTTTATACAATATGCAAAAGAAACTACTAAAAGAAAAAAAATTACTAACCTTCAAGGTTCAGCTCCTCAATCCTACGTCTTTTTACCCTGGGTTCACTGGAAGTCCATACACTACTGCCAGCACTCGAGCTATCTTGTTTGTACACAGGATCATTATCTGAGTCATTGTGATATGGATCCTCGGTATCATCGCTCATATTTTCATCCCATAAACTCTGCAATCTCCGTTGTTCTTTCTCATAAGACATTATGCACAATAATAATTAACGTAAAGCACGTTGCGAATATTTCTTTACAACTGACCTTCTCGAGCTTACTGATAATCAATGTTTTCGTCAAGTCTAGACGTGATAACTCCCCTCTTAAATGTGTATATAAAAATATACACGTGGCGCACAGATGCATTTTTCATTATCTGGGCCGCGTGTATACTTTTGGCACACACACCATACACACATGCGCAATAATATTTTTTGTCAAAAATGGTGTTTACTATTTTAAGTACGTAATTTAGAAATAGTTTGAAGGAAAAAAAGTCGTGGCCCAACGGAACTCTGCACTGATTTGGCGTGGCAGCCAAAGTGTTAACTGAACAATAGTTTTTGTTTCGATTTTGGACCATTTTTTATTTGTTATATCTATCTTTATTAATTTTAAGCCATTTATGTTAAATAAGTTATTATTTTTAGAATCCTGATCCCCAAAGAATGAACATATCACACGACGTTATTCCAAATGGATACATACAAACAGCACAAAATCAACATACGTCAAGATCAAAAATTAAATCCACTACAAATGTAGATGTGTCACAGGAAATATCTTTGGCTGTACAAAGCCTGCGAGCGGATATCGAAAATATATCGAAGAAAGTTAATTCGTTGGAAAATGCAAATAGGTTGGTAGCGAAACGACAAAAGAGATTATTTCCAGGAGTCCCGAATAATTTCTTAGTTTTTGTCATAGCATGGCCTTTTATAGCCACATTTATCATGAATCGATATTTGTATCGAAGGAATCTTTAGGAAAATTTGAACAAATGTGAAGTTTAGATACCTGATACTGTAGAAAAAAACTAGTCTTTTAATATCAAATTGTTTTTTCGAAGTAGACTGTCGAGGATAGCGATTTATAAGAACTTAACATTGACAAAAGGCCTGCTACCAGTAGACAAAAAATAAATAATCCTATATTTCATCCAAGGAAACAAAAAAATAAATTTAATTTAATAGCTGTCTATAAAATAACGTGATTCATGTTGTAAAACACTTTTTCTTTTCATATATTAGCGACAAGTACATAATTGAATTATCCATCTCATGATAATAAGTAATTATACCTTTACTGTAACTAATATGTAACATATAACCAAAACTGGTACGTAATACTTTATGCATTAATTTTAGAGACATTTTTTTCAGCATAATGTTCATTACACTTCAAGTGATATGTTCAGATTCAATTTAAACGATATTTTGTATTGGTATTTTTGTTTCTTGAAGAATATTTTTCTTGTTTGACAGACCATGCAAGCACTGAGAAACTTAAGTGCGATTAATTACTTAGAAATGTCTAGTTGTTTTTATTTTCGAAGGACTTGTGTTTCTGCTTCTCTAGATATTCTGCAAAATCCTGCTCGAAGGACCAAATACGATGATTGCATTTTACGCTAGATACCACACAGTTCAATGTTTAGAGTCAACAAGGTTTTTCCATTTAAAATGTTGTGGAGTGCTGATTCATGTATATTTTGCATCTGCTATCTGGTGCTACTTATAATTAAACTGTATCAAATAAAAAAATGACTATAGCGTAAACTTTGAACTACCACAGTTTGATATTTTGTTCTTCTTAAAGGTACATTTTTACATTGGAAGAGAATAAAGGGCACATGCTATTATGTTTTGGTGTCAACACTTCCAGTTTGAGCGGGCGAACAAATACAAATATTGGAATGAGTAATAGTGAACAATTGTTAGAATCAAAAACAGAAGAAAGAATAAGAAAGAAAACATTCCAAATCTGAAACATTTCATGTTTCATTGGTTTCTCTGAAAGTTAACAGCAATTGTATAATTTTTCATAAATAGATTTTATACAATTTTAGATCAAATTGAGATCAATTTGTCGACAGACACGGGAATGATAAAAAAATAGAATTGTACATACTATTAATATTAATACAATTCTGTAATATTATTAGTTGGTTGCATCTACACGCCACACCTTGTAGATGGTAGTCGATAGAAATTAATATTAAGCGTTTAAGACATACAGAAAAAATTGTCATAACCCAATTTAGTGTATCAAACATCTTTGGTAATTTTAGTTAAAAAATAAACTCTTGTTTTACGTTTTTGTTTCCAGATCAGAAGCAGTTTTGTTATGTTGTATATAGTTTTGTTTCAAAACTTAACAAAATAGGATAGTTTCTTTCATTAAAGCATTCTACTTTCAAAACGCTTACAGTATGGAATCTTAAACATCAAGTAAATAATTTATTTGATATTTGTAACAAGATATTTCATAATAACGGACAGACCACAAAAAGAAAAATATTTACAGCATCTAATTCATGATTTTTCACATATGTATGAAAACTTTTCACACTTTAAGTAAATCTTGAATATAAGATCCAGTAATCATTGTAAAGCCCATCTCTAATTTAAATATCTAGCGGTATAACAATATTATGGCCTTTAATGTAACACTAAGTAGTAAGTATTTTGTCAATGTTTCTTAAATGTTGTGGTTATAGCTAAACCAACTCAAATGGACGTTAAAAATTATTCTGGTATCTAAATTCTTCATAATTAAATGGTAATGTCTTAAATATAATCAAGCTGGTTCAATTTTAGGGGATTTTTAATTGTAGGTGGTCTCAGCCAATATCCATATTGATATATAAAGGTTGTAAGATTATTTTATTTTCTATTGTTGGTGATATTTAAGTAAACTTATACAATGTCATATTTTAATTGTTATGTATATATGAAGTTTTATATTATTTTGGTTTAAAATAAACGATTGAAAGTGTTTGATAGTATTTTGATACGACAATGCACAAAATAATCTTTGAGTATATTAATTTTGACCTCAAAACAATTAAACAATATTTTATGTTGCCAACATTATTATAAAAAGCTTTTTAATAATTCAAAGAAGACTAGTCAAAAAACTTTTTTTAATAAAAGTTTTAAAATGCTATTAATCAGTTTCATCTTTTTATTCTGGTGTTGTCAATGTTGTATTTTTTTCCATATCCTCTCCCTAATATTAAATCTGAAATGACAGTAAACGACGCCGTTTGAATAGCGTATTTTTATACAGGACGCTTCACTAATAATAGGACATTGATCAGCTGTAGAACAAATATAAACACACATTTCGAGTGCAATGGCGAAAAATTCAAAGCACGATTCTGTAATAGTTTGAAATTTAAAAGGACATGGTTAGAACCTACATAGTGTTTGAGGGCCGCCCATACCTATTTAATATTATTAACCTTCCGAACACATACACACATATAATATACATTATATATATATATATATATATATATATATATATATAATGTATATTATATATATATATATATATATATATATATATATATATATATATATATATAATGTATATTATATGTGTGTATGTGTTCGGAAGGTAATAATATTAAATAGGTATGGGCGGCCCTCAAACACTATGTAGGTTCTAACTATATATATATATATATATATATATATATATATATATATATATATATATATATATATATTTCTTGTACACCAAACATACACTGGGGTGTCATACCCCGCACGTTATGTTTCTAATTTTTAAACAACTTTAAAATATTTTATGGGTTAATTTTATTCAAAATCAAGTTCTACACAAACAAAAATAATTCGACTGGTCCAACGAAGACTGTAGTAACTCATTTTTTATGTAATTGAGATAATTATAAAAATGTATTTACACTGTTACCAAAATTCATTAATCTATTAAATGGATGTTTTTATAGCATTAAGTGATACTTTTAATAATGATCTTACAAGGGTAAAACAGATTTAAGACAGAAATGGTCATAAGTGACTTTTGAATGAGTTACTATAGTTTTCGATGGAGATATTTTTAAAGTAATAAATACCAGAATTATTTGTTTCTTAACTTTATTTATATAAAATGCTACATTTTGAAGAAGCTACTGATATAATTTGCAGTTTTATATTTTAATTCAATTTTCCTCATCCGACTCTTCTTCGCTCTCAACTGAATCAACTTCGAGCTCGACTTTAGGAGGTACATAACTCTTTGAATTAAGATTTTTATAAAATCCATGGTACATTGTGGGTATTTTGCCGGTATTACACAGCCACAGTAATCCTTTTAGCTTTTTTTCTTCAATTGGTAATGGTGCATCATACAGTTTCGGTGGAAATTTGATAGTAGTGGAAGGCCGTCCTCTGCATTTTCGATTTAATTTTATGTCACAACCTCTAAAACCATCATCGAATTCGTATTTAAACATTATAGAATTTTGGTGTTTCATGCGAAAATTTTATTTCTCGTATTTTGCTAACTTTTATTGATTTCTTTTCGTTGTCAAGTTTCCAATTCTCGGTATCAGTCAGTTTTTTAAAATTAAAAAAATTATCTTGGGACATTTCCGTAACATCATAAACTCTTCCTGTAGTTTTAGCCATTCTAATTAATGTAACCCACTGTTCTGGCACATATACAACCGATTGCCTTTTCTTTGCATTTTCGATAACAGCATGCATACTGTCACCCTCGTTCTGAATGTGGCCTTTTTCCAGAAATCTGTGAACAATATCAATATGAAAATGAGCAGCAGCAAAAGCAAACATCGAAAACACAAAACGATTCCTATTTTGTCCCCCACAGTTGTCTGAGTAGAATATTATCGTTTTAACACTTTGTTGTGCCTTGAGATCTAAAAATTTCCAGAGGCAACTGGCAATTTCATTAGGACCTCTTTTAGCCACCTGCTCGTGCCATACATAGCAGTAACCCTGATTATTTCCAACATCATAAACTGTAAAGTTATATGTAGAGTATTTGCTTTTGTAGTAAAAATCACTTACGTTAGACAAAGGGGTAGCTAAAACCTTTTGAAGGTCAAAGCAAGCCACACACAAGCTCTTATCATCTAGTGCAAGCTGTTTGTCTATGTCTTTTAAGTTTCTGATAACTTCTTTGTTTTTCATATGGGACTCATATTGTTCGAGCAATTTTGCTTTTTCAGCATCACTAGCCATATTAAAAACAGAACAAACAGTACACTGGTCCTTTTTTGGTTTAAAGAACCCAATATTGAACTGTTCATTGAAAATATCTCTATACTGGCGTGACGTGGCAGCTGTAGTGATGTTATTTTTTTCGCAATGCTCGTTGTACAATCGGTACATTTTCTGGATAGTTAGCCCTTCTTCAAGGTACATCTTCATCGTATTCTTACGGGTATAATGGGAAGGTACTACAGGAAACTGATTTATGTGATTTTTTACGTTGTCTATAAGTTCTGGTGATAGTTTATGTGGTCTGTTAGTGTGCTTTCCACGTTTATCTTCCTCTAATGATCCACCATCTTTCAGTTTCCTTAATGCTGTAGTGATCCAAGTTTCTGAAACGTTAAGGTTTTCCAAAAACATAGTTTTGCAAACACGTTGTTTTTCATTGCGAATGTAGAAGTAATATTCTCGAGAGTAATTTCTTCGAGACCGTTGTTCTGCAGTAATAGTTACTTGTTTTTTGGCAACCTGTCTCACATGACGAGCAATAAAATCCCACTTTCTCGTATGATCTTTTAACTTCCAAAATTCATTGAAAAAAAGGTCTCTATCTTCTTTAGCTATTTTGGTAGCACATTTTAGTCTACATGTGTTTGCGCATGGTGCACCCATCTGTCTTCCTTTAATTTGAATACCTTTTCGATTTTCATGTTCAAGTCCCAGGTTTAGACTTGTTTTAGATTTTTCATCCGCCCACTTACTAACGTCTCTAATTCTTTTCCTACTTACTCTCTCTATATTGCCTCTGCTTCTTCTCTTTCTATTTGTGGTTGCTTCAGTTATATTCTTATTAGGTTCAATTATTACTTCAGGGATGTTTTTGTCTTCTGTCGGAATGTAATCTGGGTCGGTATCAGAGTCTGCATGAAATGGTTCCTCATCGCTTTCCTTCCCAATTATTTCATTTTCATTCCTATTGGCTTCATTCTCTTCTAAGCTTACTAAAATTAAACAAAAATGAGGTAAATGCCTACGTAATATTTTTTCATGCGGAATTTAAACCAACCTGTAGAACATTCAGGATTAATATCAGTCTCGTGGTCACCAGGATCCTCATTCGCCTTTTTGTATTTGCTTTCTTCTACAATACTTTCAGCAATATGTTTACCTCAAAAAAATAAGTAGGTTTTTACTTTGCTGTTATTATTTTAAATAAAGTTTATTATAAATTTACCTCCAAAAGAACGATAGGAAATATCCGTTTCAGTGTTTTTATACGCTTTCTCAGCTAATTCCAATATTAACTCACTTCTGGAACACATTATGGCAATTATAACAAAACTAAACTTTTGAACATAACCTTAAACTAACGCAGAATACCGTAATAACTCATGTTACGATACCTATGCTATCGCCTCAGATAACAACGAAGACTATTGTAACTCAAGATACGATGATTTTCTACGGTTGTTTTTCATAAATCGGAGATACTATAAAATTCTTACACGTAATATTGGTTGCATAACTACGTTTACTGAGATACGATTCTTTCCTGGGGAAGATATCATTGTTTTGCGCTCGTAACTCAAAAAGTGGAAAATTTGAGTTACTACAGTCTTCGTTGGACCAGTCGAATTGTACTAATAAAAAATTAAATTTTATCGAAAAATCCCATTTTATACTAAAAACTTGCTTCAGTCAAAACTTAACATTATGTCAATAAGAATGAAAGTCTTCATGTAACCCTTGGTTAATCAATGTTTTTGTTTGATCTACCCAACGGCTTGGAGATATTCCCCTAGGTCTTTTTCCTTCAACTCTACCCTAGACTATCAGTTTTTCCATCGTGCCTGCTCTTCTAGCAATGTGTCCAAAATACTGCAAATATCACTGTTGTATTTGTTTAAGCAATCTATCCTGTACTTGTAAGTTGTTCTAGTATCGATACGTTAGTGCGATGATCAATCCAGGATATTCTCAACATGCGGCGGTATACCAACATTTCAAAAGCGTCCAGTTTATTTTTATCCGCTTTCTTTTAAGTCCGCGTTTCGGATGCATATGTGGCTATGGGAAAAATGAGCGCCCTTACCAGCCCAACTAGAATATAACTGCCAATAATTAGGAAATGTGTATAATGTCTAAAATAACCTATTATTGCATTATTTTCCTTAATATTTATAATAAAACGACATTTATTTTGTGTTGAGTAATAATAGTAAATTATAAAAAAAACTCTTTTCCCTAAAGTGTCAATAACTAGGTGGTCTACCCTAAATGATTAGAAATGAGTAATACAATGAGATTTCTAAATTATTCTTTATTAAAAATAGAGTTACGTAACAGAAAAACTTTTGTCAATGATTGCAATATTTAAAATGTAAAACAAAATATAAATAAAAGTTTCAATTGGAAGTTGAATTTTCTTTGCATTTCAAATCAATAATTTCTCTCACGAGTTGCCTATTGTTTGCTTCTAGCTGATTAATTGTGGTTTTATAAATTTCCTCATTTCTTTTGTACTTTCCAATAAATCGCAGCATTACTTCATCTTTTGAGTGTGGCTTTACTTCTGTATTAGATTCTATTAATTTTTTATTTTCTTCTGAAAGTTTTTTAAATTGTCTTACGAAGTCGTTATTTTGTTCCACTTGATACCTTTTAATTTTGTCCATTTCATGTTTTGCATCTATTTCTCTCTTTTTATATTCTAATATTTTTTCTTCCAAAACATTAATGCGATTGCTTAATCCTGCATTTTTATTTTCATAAGCGTTTATTTTAGACTGGCAGCATTCTATGACTTTATATAAGTGATTGTTTTTATTATTATTTCTTTGGCTGGCGATATTGGTGTCTTTCATTTGTGCTGAAAGAGTAAATTTACATTAGATTAAACAAGAACCTAACTTATAATTAAGTAAGCACTCACAACTATTGACATGTCACTTTTAATGGTTGATGTCAGTGGTCAAATAAAAATTTAACAAAAAT